GAGTCCTTGATTTTGTTCTTGTTCTTTGTAGAACCAGCACGTTTAGAGAAAGAAGCCATTAAAAAGAAGAAGGAAAAGGTTTTGTGTTTGAAGAGAACTAGATGCAAATCAGGAGCTCAAGAAATTATGAAACGCAAAGAAAAAGAATGTGGTGTATAAGTAAAAATTTAGGCGGCTAAATTCATGGCCATGATTACCTCGATAATCGGCAAAAATTGTGAGAAGGACGCATGTTCGGGGCATTAAATGCGGAGAGACGTGCGTCTAATCAACTGTCAGGAACCTTTAGAGGGAGTTATAGTACTTTCCACCAAAAAAGGTGTTTCTACCAACTTTCCGATAATACAAAGTTATGTCACCGGAAAGCAGGGGGCTATCTGTATAAGGTGAAATATAATATGACACGTTGTCATCTAAAAGGAGGACACTTGGAACCCAAGACAGGAATGACCGAAAACTGAACGCATTCATTCCACTTGTCACCGGAGAGGATAACGTTCATGAATGTGTGTTAAATGCTCTGCGCCCGGTAGCATTTAATAGAAAATATTCTGCAGCATTAAGAGCGACGGTCCGTTACAGAGAATTTGGCATTTATGTCCACCGTTATTTCTTCATCAATGACCCTCATACTTGACATTAAAGGAGGACACGATCCTAGGACCTCCTTCCCTAGACATAACTATAAATAGTGAGCTCAGTTATCATTGTAAGGTACGAATTTTCTGGCTTAACTTACACTCTATTCTATATAAAGCTTTATAAATTTTACTTTCTTTCTTTTTTTGTTTTTATCATTGCCGTGCCCGGAAACCTTGTTCTCGAAATTGTCATCTCTGTTGTTTTCATCTATATTTCAAGGCTAAGTATTATACATTTCTACAATTATTGTATTATTTCAGGATCAAATTAGTTCACTTGTCTAGAAACTACGTATAAATTTAACTGTACCGTTTTACGGGTAAATAATAATTTGATTCCAATTAAATTTGACGGGGATGGAATTCCTTTCTAAAGCAAAGAATTTGCCTAAAGTTAAGGCAAATATCAAATAAAGAAAGAAAATATCATACGTGGATGTTGTATTTGAGCTTCTTTATCAATTAAATGTAGTAAAGTTGGAAAGAATTATTTTTTTAATCATGCAAAAGTGAGAGTTTGTGGCAATATTAAAGTTTAAATACCAACTATGTGGTCAGTTATCCATATTTGTAATCAAATGTGATCGACATAGTGGTCTCAAGCTACGTTTTGGAATTCAAAGTTCACGTGGCAGGCATACAAAATTTATTGAATTTAAATTCAATAAAATAATTTGGACTATATATTAAATATGTTAGTTCAACTAAATATTATGGACTAATATAATTAGATTAATTATATAAGTTCAAATATATATGGATTAAATAAATAAGCCTTAATTCATTGGGCTAGCCCATTTAGTTGGGCTACAGATGATGAGCCTACTTTGTTAAGCCCAAAATGACATCTTCCTATAGGCCCAGTTTGATGTCACGTGTCAAATGAAGTGGCACGCCAAGTCAAGCGGAAGAGCTAATAGGATCGTGCCACGTGTCAAAATGACAAGGCATGCCAAGTCACATTAAAAGGCTAATGAAATCGCGCCACGTGTGCAAGTGACATGTTCTGGCCAATCAAATGCGGTCTTGTCACACTTCGATTTGATTGGTCGGAAAGAGTTTGTTCTTATCATAACTCTTCCCTCCCACAACTATAAAAGGTGTGTTCATAACCCAAAAAAGACACCAGAAATTATAACAAGAAGCAAGAGAGAGCTCGTGGATCAAACGCCTCAAATTTCTCTACAAGTTTCAAGCTTCAAGCAATCAGGTTCAAGTTCGAGAAATCAAGTTCAAGCTCAAGAACGAAGAACAAATCAAGGTTCAAGGAGTACGAGTTCAAATCAATGTTCGTGCTAGTTGAATTCAAGATCATCATTCGTGGCAATAACTACATATTCAAAATCAAGCTCAAAAACCCTTGTATTTATTTACTATTGGAAAGAAGAATCAATATTTGAAATCAAATACTACGATTGTTACAATATTTTCGATCTTGATTTTATTTTATTTTCTGTCAACTGAAGAAGCTACTTTATACACACGAAGCACCTTATACTATAGCTCTTAGCCTGTTTCCTTTCCAATTCTCAACTGGTACTATTGGATTGGCATTATACTCCTTCATTGCGTTAATCTTTTTGTATTATTCTCACAATTATTTTCAAATTTTTTATTGTTTTTCCTTCTTTTTTATAGTTTTCATATAAGGTTTTAAGATTGGTGAATAAAATGTGCAATTGTTTTACCTCTGCGTCTGTCAAGCCAGCTGCCAGCATCATGCAGGGTGCCCTGGAGAAAGCCCAAGGTATCACCATTCACCAGACCTTCTGTGATGGCACAGGATGTCCTTAATAGAAAAGCCAACGGGCTTCATAAAAAGGGAGAAAAGCCAACGGGTTGTTTGGAAAAAGTAAAAAAAAAAAAAAAAAAAAAAAAAAAAAAAAAAAAAAAAAAAAAAAAAAAAAAAAAAAAGAGTAAAGCCAAACACAGAAGTATTTGGTCTACATGAAAATTAAAGTTTTGTGAGAAATCGTTATTTCAATTGAAATACCTCTCAAACATATCTTTAAAACTTTAAATGGTTTACTTCAAGTGACGTTGAAATAATTGACCGAATAAATAACTATATGATTTTTTTACAAATATTTCAATTTAATATTCATGGACAAACGGGAAGGTGCCAAGGCTTTAAAGTTTAGTGAAATTCCCAGCAAAAGAAACGTGACAAAATTCTCTCTTTCATTAGTACAATATTATGTTAGATGTGGTGTGTGAGATATCACAAGAACCAAAATCAAAATTAGGCGATAACACACAGGGACCAAAATAGCAATTTTTCCTTTTAATTTTGATATTTCATATTTATTTAGAAGCTTATAGGCGCGAGAGGAAATTAACCAGTGCTAAAATATGACATTGTCAGCAAATTGAAAAAACTGAATTTTTTATTATTTTCATCAGAGAAAGGAAAAGAAATTATTGTACGAAATTAGTGACAACTGCAAAACCATGAAAATTTCTCATTGTACAGTCTTAGGCCCTCTCCACTTCTTCATTAAGCTACCTTTGAAGAAAAATAATAATATCAATCCTACACTCGCAAGTCACTCTGGTATGAATACATACCACCTTCAGCTTACAAAAAAGAGTATCGGGAGCTAGTTGATTTTGATCTCATTGTCCCATCAAATTCACAATGGGCGTGCTAAGAATTTTATGTTTAAAAAAAAAGTCGAGAAAACAAGAGGTAAATTGAGATTGGCAATTAATTACCAACCACTCAATCATTTTCTTTTGGATGACAAGTTTTCAATCCCTAATAAGCTCACTCGTTTGTCCGAACTTGTCTAAAAAAATATTATTCTAAGTTTGTTCTCAAATCAGGCTTTTGGTAATTTGGAATTCACCTACATGATAGGGAATTTTTTTTTGTATTCCCGATCACCATTTTTAGTGGAAAGTCATGCCTTTCAGTTTAAAAATTGCTCCATCTTTGTTTCAAAAGTCCATGATGATAATTTCTCAGTCAATCCTTCACACATCACTTCTTTTTATTGCTGATATTTTACTATTCAGTGATACTTGGGAGGAGCATATAAATTTGCTCAATCATTTTGCATCTTTAATGTAAAAAAATGGCATCATCCTTTCAGAAAAAAAAATGGTTTTTGCAAAAAAAAGAGATTGATTTTTTGGGCATGAACCCAAACCGTTATGACGTTTCTTTTTATTCTTTTCTCAACCACTTAAAAAACTAACGAAATCAATGTTGTTGACTTCTTTCTTCCGTCATTTTCATTCTTTTTTCTTCTTCTTTTTCAGAATGTTGTTCCCTCACATTATTCACAAATTTTAAAACATGAGATGAGTAACTCAATATCATTTCCGTTAAAAGATTTACCGAAACGCTAGTGTAAGATCACTCTACTCTACTGCTCAGAGACGGACCAAGGATTTAAAGGTCGGAGTATAATTTTGTTTTCAACTAAAATTTGCTTTATATGCAGAGTGTCACTTCTAATGTATCAATATCTTTTAAAAATATATACATGTATTCTTGAAAATTTTGCCGAACTTTCAAGATGTCGGCCCCTCACTTGATAATGTAGGTCCGCCTCTGCTACTGCTAGTGCTACGGGTTAAAGGCTACAATTTCTTATTTGTTGAAAAACGAGTATTTTTCATTTCAAAGTAATAGTCATACTTATGTTCTTAGGTTGACTTAAAATAGGATTACTTCATATCTACTCTTTTTAAAGGAAAGCAAATCTTGTAACTCTAATAATGTTTTACGAATTCGTGTAGAGCATTAGAAATTGCATAGATCTTTTTCGATATCAGTATAACGTTTGTGGATATTTCTTTTAATATTAGCTAATACATGTGGATAGTGTTTTAAGATGTCTTGCGATTTATAGTAGTATAGCTCAGATTCTATGAGAATCAAGATTCCGTATTATACAATTTGGAAACTACTTAATCCCAATAGGCTTATTCGTGATTAGTCTAGCTTGAAATTTCTTCCATCTATATGGTAAAAAACTAAAATTCATGTCTTGATTATATATGCTTTAATTAGCTAAATTAAAAATACAGATTTATAATACATTTGGTCAAGCTTTCAAAACCTACTTATTTTAAAAAATATTTTTTTTATTAGAAATATTTTTTGAAAAAGTAATGTTGGAGAGTAGCAATTTGTGTTTGACTAATCAATTTGAAAAATACTTTTGCCTATATTAACGCTTATTTTTCCCTAAAAAATTTAGCCAAATATCATCTCAACTATTTAAAATAAGGATACTTTTTTTTTTTTTTGAAAGAATAAACATTTTTTGTTTCCGAAAAGCCTTTACTGCGTAGCTTTATATTTTTTGTGTTAATTGCTCAACAATAGTAGTACTAGGCAAGTGGGCAAGGCTACAAATATTAATGGATGGCCTTTTTCCACTAATCAGTTGCCTCCTCGTCCTTACTCCTTCTCAACTGCTTGGGTTTCATTACTACTATTACTCCATTAATTATACAGTACTAAGTAGTTGTTGTTTCTTATTTTCATCAACATACATCAAATTCATGGGTTCCTCATCTCCCATGGTGGATTCATCACTACCTCAAGGTGACAACCAGTTGCCTTTGGGACTTCAACATATGCTTCAGTATGTTATCAAAAGCCAGCCAGATTGGTGGGCTTACGCCATTTTTTGGCAAACCTCAACTGACGACGAGGGAAAGCCCTTTTTAGCTTGGGGAGATGGCTATTTTCAAGGGGCAAAAGGAGGTGCAGCTGTTAACAACAAAGGCAGCAGTTCAGACGCGGCCCAATCGGAGAGAAAAAAAGTAATCAGAGGAATTCAAGCTCTAATTGATGGAGATAATAATAATCTAATGGACGATGGTAATGTAACCGACATCGAATGGTTCTACGTGATGTCGTTGGCTCGTTCTTTCTCTGTGGACAACGGATCAGTTCCTGGTAAAGCTTTTAGTAGTGGTAATTTTGTGTGGTTTACAGGTGCTGCTCAATTTCAGGTTTACAGCTGCGAAAGGGCTAAAGAAGCTCAGATCCATGGAATTCAGACTCTGCTTTGTATTCCAACTTCAAACGGCGTGCTCGAACTGGGCTCGGCCCACTTAATCAAAGAGAATTTTGACTTAGTTCAACAGGTCAAGTCCCTGTTCCTCTCTTGTCCGCCCATTCACTTTCTCGAGAAATCAATTTGTTTTGCTGATATAGGTCTTGTCACCGGCTTGCAACAAGATAACGAAGACAAATTAGAAAAGCAGCAGCTGGATTCAGATAAAAAGGCAGTAGCAAAGAAAAGAGGGAGAAAGCCCAAAGGCGGAGACAATAATATAAATATGGCGGCGTTGAACCACGTAGAGGCGGAGAGACAGAGAAGGGAAAAGCTGAACCACCGATTCTACGCGCTACGCTCTGCTGTACCAAACGTTTCCAGAATGGACAAAGCTTCACTGCTATCAGACGCGGTGTCATACATCAACCAACTCAAAGCCAAAGTGGATGAGTTGGAGTTGCAGTTAATTGATCATAGCAGCAGCAGCAATAAGAAACAGAAAAGTAATGAATCAGGTGAGAACCAGAGCACCAACACTTCAGTGGACCAAGAATTAAGACCTAATTCATCTTTAGAGGTTGAAGTAAAGATAGTGGGACCAGATGCTATGATCAGAGTTCAATCAGAGAACGTTAATTATCCATCAGCAAAACTCATGAGTGCGCTTCGACATCTACAACTGCAAGTCCACCATGCCAGCATTTCAAGTGTCAATAATCTCATGCTTCATGATGTTGTGGTTAAAGTTCCTCAGGGATTAAGAACTGAAGATGGATTAAGGACTGCTCTTATTACAACATTAGAGAGCAATAGCTAGCTAATTTTGGTAAGGAATTACACTTTAATTAGCTTCTTATTGCACTTTTGCTTATGTGTAAATTAGGCGGATCAGTAGGGCTTTGAGAATATTATAATTATCATTCAAGAAAAAGAAAAAATTTACCAGTAAACTACCTCGGTCATGTTAGGCAGAGTACGTGCTTCGAATCTTCAGTCATTCAATTTCTTGTTCTAATAAGAGTATATAATTTCCATCTTTGCATTATCACTCAACAATCTTTAAGTCAATTTTATTTTTTGTTATGGAGTATACATGCAGTTGTATACATGGAGATCTCCGAGAGAGACGATGTTCAACTTAGTGGGCGTTTTGATATAAGAATTGTAAAATTTCGGGAAAAAAGGGGAAAATTTTTGTAGTGAAAATGGTATTTGAAAATTAGAGTTTGTGTTTGGACATGAATACAATTTTGGGTTGTTTTTAATTTTTGTGAGTCATCTTAAGTAAAATTTTGAAAAATAACTTTTTGGAATTTTTTAAATTTTAAAAAAATTCCGAAATCTTCAAGTGAAAATTAAAAATTTAATGTTCAAACACTGATTGTGAATAAAAAATTTTCGAAAAAAAGTTTTAAAAAAAAAATATGGCAAAACAGGCCTTATTATTCTGAAGATATATTGTAGGGAAATTTGGGGGTGTTGAACTAATTAAAACAAAGTTTTGGATCAAGATTTTGAGGCTTTAACAATATATCCAAGATGTCCCGAAGGGACGGACCAGTTGGGTTTGGCGGGCGACTTCCACATGGAGGACGCGGGATCTATCCACCGCAATGCCTCTCTGGGTTTGAGCCTGTCGTACGGGGCTTGCCTAGTATGGTTTATATTCTCTGTGTGATTTGCAGGCTATTACACAGGGGGGTTTACCCAGTGCGCACAAAGTGCTCACCCGAAAGGCAGAGGCTGTGGCAGAGGTTGTAGCGACTGCGGGTTTCCCTTCTTACCAAAAATAATATATCTAAGATAAAATGAAAGCTTTGTAACACACTACCACATCCCCTTAATTAAAAGGCGCGAAACAAATCGTGTCATCATTGTATTATTTCTTATATGTTTAACCAATAATTATAAATTAAGATTGGCGTAGTTGTGAGAATTAAAAACTGTAGCATACAACACATGTTTCCCGTTTGCCAACTATGAGTAGCTATTTTACAACATTTGAGAGCCATAGCTAGCTAATTTTGGTAAGGAATTGCACTTTAATTAGCTTCTTATTGCACTTTTGCTTATGTGTAAATTAGTCGGATTAGTAGGGCTTTGAGAATATTATAATTATCATTCAAGAAAAAGAAAAAATTTACCAGTAAACTACCTCGGTCATGTTAGGTTAGAGTACGTGCTTCGAATCTTCAGTCATTCAATTTCTTGTTCTAATAAGAGTATATAATTTCCATCTTTGTATCATCACTCAACAATCTTTAAGTCAATTTTTTTTTTGTTATGGAGTATACATGCAGTTGTATACATGGAGATCTCCGAGAGAGACGATGTTCAACTTAGTGGGCGTTTGGATATAAGAATTGTAAAATTCTAGAAAAAAATGGGAATTTTTTTTTAGTGAAAATGGTATTTGAAAATTAGAATTTGTGTTTGGACATTAATACAATTTTGGATTGTTTTTAATTTTTGTGAATGATCTGAAATGAAATTTTGAAAAACAACTTTTTGGAGTTTTTCAAAATTTGAAAAAAATCCGAAATCTTCTAGTGAAAATTGAAATTTCATGTCCAAACACTGATTCTGAATGAATTTTTTTTGAAAAAAAGTAAAAAATAATTATGACGAAATAGGCCTTATTATTATGAAGATATATTGTAGGGAAATTTGGGGGTGCTGAACTAATTAAAACAAAGTTTTGGATCAAGATTTTGAGGCTTTAACAATATATCCAAGATAAAATGAAAGCTTTGTAACACACTACCACATCCCCTTAATTAAAAGATGCGAAACAAACCGTAACGTCATCATTGTATTATTTCTTATATATTTAACCAATAATCATAAATTAAGATTGGTGTAGTTGTGAGAATTAAAAACTGTAGAGCATACAACACATGTTTCCCGTTTGCCAACTATGAGTAGCTATTTTGGGACAGTGGTAATTACAGAGTATCAGAAGTAAATAAAGTGTTGCATGCTCTTATTTGGCCTGGTCTGTTTGTAAGTTGTATATAGTGTACCAAAATCACCATATATCAAAATGTAATATGTCACTGTTTCTCACATGTGTTCCTGTTTGTTTTGTCGTAAAATATCTACTTCTGGTCCCTCGTTTTTCATTTCATGTGGATGAAAAATTAGCTAATCCTAGTAAAGGAGAATCATGTTACATCCCAGACCCTACCACTAAAAAGACTTGCCCATCCACTTTTCCTTTCTTTACTATTGTTCTTTTCTGCCTTTTCAAAAAATTATGTGCTTAAACTATGCAAGACTTAAAATTCATTGAGACTTTTTGACTAATTATTTCTGTCTTGTTTTGGGCCATATATGTCTCTTATTCTCAATATATATCATACTCCCCTAAATAAGTGACGCTTACAGAAAGATACAATTCGCTATAATTTATTTTTACTATACTATTAAGGGGTGTGGTGAGATTCATCCTTTTTAATTAGATATAGAAGAAAAAAAAATTCTTATGAAAATTATTTTCTTCTTTAACGAGCCATATGATAGGAATCCAGAGTAGTCGGACTGCAAATACGGGCGGGCACTGGGATTAAAAGAAATCTTACTATGAACTTAATTTAAAGACAGTCAATTAAATCTCTATAGCGAGGACTGCCCACCTCCCCACCTGTAATATTATCATCCACATTTACACGTGCGTTATTATCCAGTTAATATTCATTTGCTACTTCAAAACTAACCACACATTTTTTAAAAATCCAAGGTACTGGGGAGAGGGGAGAGGGGCCACTAATAGCCTATAGCCCGGACTTTTTCTGGTGGTCCAAGCAAAAAAATTAGTAGCATTTGAAAATAAGAATGCGAGCGCCACCTAACAAAAATAACAGTAAAGATTATTTTTCTGGCTTTAAATGTCTATAATAAGGTAAAGATGGAGGTCTTCGTTAACTTTTTTTTAATCAACATAAAATTAACTACGCTGAACTTAAGTGAAAGAGAAATAGTATACATGTACCTAACTATGGGATGAGATCCCCTCCAGTGAAAATTGATCCAGCATTGCTCAATACACAGACCGATTTATGCCATGTGTCCACCCACCTATTTTATGGCTTAGATTCATTTTGTTATAAACAATTAAAAAGGTAAGGTAAATTTGAATTAAAAATGATAAGAAAATACAAAAAAACTAACAGCAGCCGTTTATATCAACGTGCCTGCCATTTTATCTCATTTCTTAAACACTACAATGCAGCATTGGGGGCCATAATAGTGTCATAGTAAAGCCTAGAGCTATGTGCATTTCAAAAAAATAAATCAGAATTATATTTTTATAATATTAATCGATTTCTTATATTTGGAATCGACTTTTCTAATTTTTTGAGCAGGAGTTTGACAAATAATACTTCAAAAGACAAATGTTATTTGTTTCATGTCGACACAAAAGCTCTCGTATAATGAGATTTCAAGAGTTCCTCGTGTATTAGTAATTTTAGTTTTCAAACCTTTTCACTTATGAGTTCGGACATATAAAATTTTCTTGCTTCATCTAGCTTCAACTCTATCTTTTAGAAAATTGAGGTTTTTTTAGAAGGCACTTACTTTGATTTAATGTATGATCCAAGATTCTTTATCTCCTAAAACAAAAAATAAAGTTACATTTTCTATCTAAATCAAATATATCGAAGTTATCGAGTCGAATAAACCAAACAAAATTGGATAAAATCAATCCACATCAAATTTGACTATGTATGATATTGATATAGTATTTTAAGAAATAAAATATCAAAAATATCGAATCGAAATATCTAAAAAATATACCAAACTCGAGTTGAATCCTACGAATAAACGAAAGACATAGTTTAATTGCTCAATATTATGACCTTTTGTTACAAGCTCACTGTTCCGTGGTTTTACTTTTAGGAAACAATATCAGTATAAAATTTATGATGTATAATTAGTCCGAAAGATAAATGAATATCCTTGATGTTATTGGTTATCTTTTCCAAAAAGATGAGATTAGGACGGTTTTTGGCGTCTAAAATGTTGTGTAAATTCAATTCTCTCCACCTTAATTTTCGCTTTTTTGCTTTTAATTATTCTCGACATTTTTATTGTTATACGAACACACGATGGTCCCTAATGCTGCATCGTACAGTGTTTAAGAGATGAAACAAAATGGCAGGCACGTTGAGATAAACGGTTGCCGTTAGTTTTTTATTTTCTTATCATTTTTAATTTTAATTCGAAATTGCCTTTACCTTTTTTAATTGTTTACAACAAAATGAATCTAAGCCATGAAATAGTTTGGTGGACACATGGCATGAATCTGTCTATGCATTGAATAATACTGAACCAACTTTCACCGGAGGGGATCTCAACCCACTAACTATATCACTTATATGAAGTGAATAGTAATTATTTTGACTATTGGGAGACAAACTTGTCTTTCACTTCCGTTAAAATCACAATCTTAACCAAAAATTTCTTCTCTAACGAATCTGATGTTCAGATCGTTTGAAAGGGAAACAAAAATGCCAAAGCAGAGTGGTCCTCAACCTATGAACAACGCATATTTTATTCTCCCTCTATCATATATTTTATTTAAATAAAATAAAAACACGTGATCCATGGCCATTGCGACCTCACATTTTTATTTTTTATTTTGTATTTTCTACTCGCAAAAAGCAACATTCGTACTATCACGTGCTCAAAGGCTTTCACAGCACATAGGAAAAAGCTTCCACTAAAGATACTATAGTAGTATATGTTAAAATCTACACATGGACAAATATGTCGCTTATGTTTCGATTTTTGTGTTTCTTTCATTTTGAGTGATAAAACTACGAATTATGACTAATAATTTGATGAATTAACCCATTGACTCCATCTCTTTCAACTTCGTTAAACAGTATCCATGCATACGGTGACAAAGAAGACAGATACTTAAAAGCATAAAAGCTACAAAATAAATAAGTTTTGATAACTTCCTTTTCCTTCAGCATTTTTGGTTTGCTATTTTTAGTTTTATGTTTTTAGCACTTGCTTTCTTTATGTCATTAATAGTGAGGA